GATGGTATTGGTCGCATCCTTGAGAGCATCTCTTTTCTTCCATATAGCTTCCAGGCGCTTGATATCACTCTATGCAAAAAAATATATATATTTCAAATAGATAGGTTAGAATTGCTCGGTGTGAATGCATAAATAATCTATTCTTTGTGTTATGTATTGAGCCTTAAAAAGTTATCTGACTACTTAAAGAGAATGTAAAATCCACACTTTCGTCAGAATGAATTGTCCAAGCTACCAGCTAACCATGTTTCCAACATAACATCATTCCGACTATATGCCAAATTTTTTAGATTCCAACTGACCTTCCTTGCGCTCTGAAGTTGTTTGATTTTTCTTCTGACTTCTGGTTCTACTGGATGGTTTTCCAACACGTCTAGCTTACTATAAAATGTGTCATAAACCTGCTCAAATGCAGGTTCATTATCATGAAGCATAGCACACGAGGAAAAACCATCCAGCGACCATAATTCAAAAGGAATATCTTGGATGTATTTGTCGACAAATTCTTTGGACATTTTTTCTTAAAAAAAAAAATAAAGGATTATTTTATGGCGAGAAAGCAGAAAACCAAAGGCAGGGATTAGCTTATTCGAGTCAAAGAGAAAGATCATGTGTTAGTATTTTAATATCCTAGCAAAAAAACACTTACACGCGATCTGGCCAATCATATCACGAAATCGGTGTAACAAAAACATCACGCTTTTTTTGAAATGGTTTGACGTAATAAAACTTTGTTTCTAATGGCTGATCATCAGCAATCATGATTGGCTAAGATTAACGACTAATTAGCATATCGATACCCGCTATCGTTACACTCACAACTTTATATAGCGATAGTACTTAATAATAAGTAGTTTATAGGCATTTGATGCGCTGGATTTTATTACGATCCAATTAGCTAGCACGCATTAACATAATCTCGGTCGTTATTTCACGAAGTTAAAACAGAAATTTTGCATCTCGAAGGACCTTCACGCGTTTCCGGTAGCCGGTGCTTGACAAACGGTAAAATTCTACAAGAAGTTTGGTTTACAAGCAATAACAATCCACCTGTAAGGTAAAATCCCTTGTACCAAAGAAAAGAAGACGAGCAGAATTAATTTTGGAATATAATATAGACCGATTTACTTTCCCTATTTTTTTTATTAAAAAAGAATACTTGTATAAATTGGTGAATACAAGCAAAAAAAATTTTATAATACACGCTTATAGTATAAAAAGTAGGCATCGCGTATAAATCAGAACACAAGTACAACCTAACATCTACGGACATCTAGGATCAATAAACCCAGACCCACAAATTCATGCATTAAATCTAAGTCTTTTGATTTGTATATGCATAAAACATTTAATATGAACCTAATTCGAATCATTGTATCGTCAAATTCTAAAAAAAAAAATTTTTATATTAATAATATGCCAAAACGAAATTTATTGCAAAGACAAATTAACTCATTTAATATTTTGTTTTAAATTAAGTGTTTATTTGAGTACTATCTAGTAGAAATACCTTCAACAAAAGCATTCGCGGCTGCTTTGCTTTAATCGCCGATTATTTACTGTATATACTGTATATAGCTATATACTTTGTACATTCCAATAGAAAACAAATAAATTTGTCTTCTAAGCGTAGTTCTCCGGGAGTTTGATCTTTTCTTGAATCTTCAGCACAGTGAACGTTATTACTTCGTTGAAGCTACACAGAAATTGATCTACATCAGCCAATCAGATGATTTCCTGCCTATGATACTGTAAAGCCGAATTGACTCACGATAAAGGCAACGTGAATTCAAAATTTTCTAAAACCCAATAATAGGTTAAAATAGCCTCCAATTAATTCAGACCAAGCAAAAGAAGTTGGTACAACATAGTAGAAGAGGAGCTAAACGCTTGCAGCGGTGCTTCACAAATATACTGACAAAAGGACTGGAAACTCTCCGGATAACTCTTTAAATGGGCGTAGACAAGTTACAGAAATAGAGATGATCATCCCCTTGAATGGGACAAGGTAGACATCGCTGAAGCCATATACACTCAAATCCTAGGAAGTGACACTCCTATTCCAGCAGAGACCGAAATTCGGGAAAACAACTCGGAATTTAAACAATGGACTAACCTCTTTCCTACTCTGAAGAAAGGACAAGTCACCTTTCCAACCTACACACCGAAAATCTACATTTTTACGAAGAATAATGCGTCAATATTTGATATCAGTTCGCTAGAAAATATTTCACTGAATGAAACTATTTCAACCACGTATGTCATAACTGGCAATGATTTCATTGGAGCTGTTCCACGTCATACTAAAGGTAAATGGACTCACCTGGAAATTGTGTTCACGGACGAAGAGAAACAGCATCACTATGCAACTGAAGGGATTGGCTGGAAAGGTTCCGATAGCAACAAAAAAATTATTTCTGAACGTATAAGGAAAGCTTTCGACGACGTTGGCTATATTAAATCAATTAAATCATTAGTTTATAAGAATACACCATTTTGCACTAATCAGTGGATCATATTATTTGATAAAACCGAGGATCCAAATTTAGAACAAAGAATCCCTAGACACACTAGCACCTGGGGGCCAAAAGCCATTACAGAATGAAGATCGGTCCCTAAAATCTGCTTTTATTGTGATTCACCAAGTCGTTTCAAGGACTACCCACAATTTAAAGAAATAGTAGAGTTCGGAAAACGTTCTGTGGAACTAAATACCTTAAAGCAATCCAACCGATAGAAAAACAAGCCTTCGACGTGGATAACCCTTACATTCACAAGAAAACGAAAGGCAAGCACCAGAGAAAATATGATAGAGATTGAGGACAACACATTTGAGGTGGATACCCTCTCTCAGGAAGAGGAGAGCATAGAGGAGATGGTAGAAACCGAGAAGTATACTGAACGTTTGGCAATGAACAATTGTGGAAATGTTAAGAATGCAGTTCCACGGATATATAGGAAATTAGAACCTATAGTGACATTAGTATCTTATAAGAAACATAAGTAAAACCGCAGGATAATACTGTACAACTTCACAGCTTGCAAGAGAGAAAAGCTTACATATCAAAAAATAGTATGAGCAAACACCACAGAGACCAAAAGAAGTTCAGAGATGGGTCTGTATCAAAATCCCGACAAGTAGAATCCCAACAGGTCATAATCCCGACAAAAAAAATCCCGACAATCAAAAATCCTAACAGTCAGAATTTTTAGGTAAAAGCATCCCAAATATTGGTGTCGCGTTCAATCACGTAATATAGAGCCAATAAGTAGTTGATTTTGGTTGACACCGAAAAGAAAAACAATACAAGAAACGAGTGTTTAAACCTATCTTTGGGATTAATAAAAAATGTTAGGGAAATTTTACTATAAAACATACAATAACACTAACCCGAAACTAATCCTTACCATAACTTTAGTCAAATAGTCAAAAACATATGAGTAGACGCGGCTTTAGAAGTCCCCGACTCTTGCCTATCACAAATTTTGATTGTATGAACATGTGGCGGATATGTATCATTTCACCAACAATCACTTCACCGACATCTTAGTTCACCGACAATTAATTCACCGACAAGTTCATTTCACCGACAATTAATTCACC